GAGAAGGGGAGTAGAGACAGCGAAAGTGGGGATAACTCGTGGAAAGAAGGCCGCGAGGGAAAACGCGGCGCAAAACGCGCACAAAGGGGCTATGGGGCAGGGGGGAGCAGCGAGGGGGAGGGGTGCGCATGCGAGGGGCGGGGAGGCAAGGAGAGTAGGCAGGGGATATGACCAGAACGAGGGGAAACCCTAAGGCCGAAAAGAGGGAGCCCAATATTAGAGCCAGATGCCAAATGGAGGAGATAAGCCGAGAGAACGACAAAATGGCCAAAAGGGCCCTGGGAGCGTGGCAAGGGGAAGGGGCGAGGAGGGGAAAGAAAGGGCATAAGAGGGGGTATTTCCAAGGAGGAAGGCCCAAGGGGCCGGAGGGGTCCAAGGCAAGAGAACCCCAGGCGGTCAGTAGCCATACGGCGGCCAGGAAAGAAGGCCGAGGGTGGGAATAATAGGAAACCCGATATGAAGGATTTCACGAGAACGCAATTTGAAGCCAAACGCCTGGAGTGAAGGGAGAGTGGAAAAAGGGGAATAGGAGAATATAAAGAAGAGGTGGGAAAGACCACGCCGGGGGGGGCAAAGTTAGGCCAGTAGCACAAAGAAAACGACGCCGGAAAATCGGATAAAAATGCGGGTGGTGCAAAAAAAGAAATGCAGGCGGGGGGGAAAGGAAGCACGATGATAGAGACAACGAGAAGTATAGAGCGCAGTAAAGAGCGCAGAGCGCAATAGCAGCAACGGACAGGCAGCAGGAACACGGAGAGGGGAGAGCGGGACGAAGAGGGCGGGGGGAGGCGGGCAGGGGAAAGACCGGACGGGGCGAAAAACCTGGGGGAAAAGGGCAACGGGGCAGGGAGGCGCTGAAAGCGGGAGAGGGCCAAGAGACGGAAGAGAGGAAGAGGAGAAACGCCAGGAAAGGAAGAGGAAGGAGCGGAGAAAGTACGTAAGGGAAAAGGGCCCGAAGAAAGCTCAACGAAGAACAAAACCGGGAGTAGAGGAAAAAAAGAGCGAGCAAGCCCGGGGGCGGACGAAGGAGGAACGCCGGCGAGGCGGAGGACGAAGGAGGGCATCAAAGATGCAGAAGCACAAGGAGAGAGCGAAAAGTGAAGAGAGGGAAGAGGAGGGGCGAAGGGGGCAAATAGAGCAGAAAGAAGAGGCCCGGGGAAAGAAGGGAAGCGGGGAGGGGGAAAGAAGCGTAAAGAGAAGAGGGAATAAGAGGCGGGGGAGAGGGCGAGAGAGCGAGGGGCGGAGAGGAAGAGGAAGAAGTCGGGAGGCCGCCCACGCGACGCGAACGAGAGGCGGCGAGCACGGCGGCCGAAGAGCAGCGGGATCGACAGGCACCAGGGCGGTCGGACCGGAAAGATAGCTGGAAAAAGAAGAAGAGAGAAGAGAGAGAGAGAGGAAAAGGCAGGGGAAGGGGCGAGAGGCTAAGAGAGGGGAGGAAACAAGGAAGAAAGAGCGGGCAGGCAGCGGGAAAGGGTAAAGAAGAAAGAATAGAGCTAAGAAGACGGAGAGTGAGCGGCGGAAGGGCAGGGAAGAAGCAACGGTGCCGGACGAGGAACGAAACCGAGCGGCGGGGGAGCCAGAGAGCAGACTGCAAGAGGTCGGGGCAGGCGGGGAGAAAAGCAGAAGCTGGGCGAACGAGGGGAGAGCCAACACCGGGAGAAAGAGAAGGAAAGAGGCAGAGTGCGGCCCGGGGCGAGCGGAAGGGGGCGGGGCGAGGGGAAAAAGCACAAGCATGAAGAAAGAAAAAAACCGGCATCGGAAGCAAGAGCAAGCAAGAGAAAGGGAAAGAAAGAGAAGAAAAGAGACAGAAACAAGAAAAGAAGAAGAACGAAAAGAGTTAATAAAGAGAGAGAGAAAGCAGAAAAAGCGAAAAAAAAGGCGAATAGAAAGAAGAAAAGGACAGCAGACGAGACGGGGAAGCAAGGAGACAGAAAAGGCGGAGGGGCAGAGGACCGAGCGCGAACGAAGAGGAGAGGAAAGAAAAGAGAAGGGAGAAAAGGGAAGCATGGGTCGTACAAGGCAAAAAGTGGAAAGTGGAAGGGCGGGGAAACAGGGCAAGGAAGAGGGGCCAAGACGGGGGGGGTCGCACAAATAAAACGGGGGACGGGCGGGGAAACAGAGGTTAGTCGTTAATAAGTATATAAAGCGTTGGGAACTGGCGCAATAGAGCCGGGGGGGCCATAGAGAGGGCGATATCGTAGAGGTCGTTGGGACAGAGAAGGACGGGGGTGGAACGGCCCAGGCTCAAAAGGGAGCGGGATCTACGGTGAGCGGAGGAAAGACATGAGATGGGTGCAAGAGAAAGTACGCGGAGGGGCGGAAGCTTGTGACGGAAGGCCTAGATAAGGGCAAAATGCCTCAAGTATATCAGAATTCAGTTACAAAGAGAAAAAAAGGATAGAAAGAAAATGATAAAGATGGTCGATAAAGGAGTGCGAGGGAGAGTGGAAGAGATCATAAGAAGGGCGAGTGGCGAGCGCAGGTCGGAGTGGTGTTTACATGAAGGTAAGTAAGCAGAGATTTCGGAGGGATGAGGCGGGGGCGAAAGGAAGATGAGACTAAAAAAGAGACAAAAGAAAGGAAGGGAAGGAGAGGGCGAGTGAGGATAGATAAGAGAAAGATTGATTATATAGAGATAGTAATGACATACAAAGCACAAATTTTGAGGAGAGAAAGAGAATGAGAAAGGTAAGAGGCGAGCTGGTAATAGGATAGGAAGATGGCAGTAAGAGTGAAGATATAATTAAAGCGCGTGCTGGGCTACGAGGGGAATGGAAGGTAATGAAGATAGGCGAAGAAGAAGAAACAAGAAATCTGGAAAGGCGGGAAGTGGTGGGGTTCGGAGAGGTAGGTTGGGGCCATTAGGTTCTGGATAAGGTTAGGAGGGGGAGAGGGCAGGGAGACAAATGTGTGAGTAGGGGGGAATCGATGGTGGCTGTAAGGGGGGCGGATGTGGATGGGAGAGGCGGGGGGGCTATCACGACCGGGGCAGCAGGCGTGGCAAATAAAGCGGGTGGGAACGAAAGCGTTGTGAGAGGAGAGGGGGGAGGAGGAGGAATATGTGAGGTAGTGCGAGGGAAGGATTACGTTGTGATGGGGCGTTAATGCGGAGGGGGGCTGGAAAGAGGGTTAAGAGGGAGCCAGAAATGAAAGGGGCAGCGGGAGGGGCGTACGGAGGGGCCCGGGGTTGAGGAGGGGGGGTGTGCAGGGCGAAATGCCGCCAGGACCCCGTACAGAGGGTGATGGGAGGCCAGGAAGCCCACGCCAGGGCGGCGGGTATACACGCGGCGACGAGGGGAGCAGCAGGAATAGGGCTGGTGAGCTCTGGCGGCGGCCGCTGGGAGAGGGAGAGTGCGGACAGAATAAGGCATGGGGTAGGGGAGGGAGTTAGAACTAGGACGGGAGGAGCGGACTGAGCGGGCCAAGAGACAGTGAAAGATAGGGTGAGGCGAGGCGACAAGGGCGCATGGGGGTGGAGAGGAGTGGACGCGATGAGAGGTGCGTGATGCGTAGCGCGGGAGGGCAGTTTGTGAGTGCACCTCAGGTCCGAGGCGAATAGCGGGAGTGGGTGGGGGGAGCTCGTGAGCCTTAGGTAGGCAGGCGAAGGGAATCCGAGGGGGGAGTAGGCACCAGAGTTAAAAGGTCAGATAGAATGGGGTTTGCGAGGGGGGTGGGAACATATTTATAGAGTGGGCCTAAGATCTAAAAACGACGGGGGGAGGTGTACACTGCTGTCGGGGGGTAGGCGCCGCGGGCTGTGGGGGGTGGGTGCCTATTAAGAGGAAAGGCGGCACGAGGGGTGCGGTGGGATTCGTCATCCTAAGTTTGCCCACGTTAAGAGCGGGGGGCACAAACAGGTAGGACACCCGCATGTGGGAGAGGGAAGGGTAGTGATCTGGAGCGACGGACCGGGGGAGGGGAGGGGCGCAGCAGGGGCCAGGAAGAAAGGATAACAAAAGATACGGTCGAGTACGTTGGACTAGGAGGGGAGGAGGCGATACAAGCGAGAGGCAGAAGGCGCAAGAGAGAGCGAGAGGAACAGCAGGAGCGGGCCCGCCCAAGAAAACCAATGGGGTGCGGAACTCTGCCGGCGCGCGGCCGGTTCGGCCATTGTAACCCTGAGCCGGAAAAGAAGATTGAGAAGAGGGCCCGAGGGAGAAGGGTCAGAGATAGCCAGTAAGAGAGCCCGCTCACAATCGACTCGTAAGGGATGGAGCTGCATTTGCAGAAGGAATAGGTGTTTAGGTACCTTGAGGAGAAAAAAGGGAAATTATGCTAGCACTTATAACCGCCCCGGGCGGGGCGAGGCATAGGGCGCGTAGTGAGGAGATGTTGAGGGCCGGCCGTGCCAGAGCGAGAGAGAGAGAAACAGAGAGACGAGAAAGGATCTAGCGCGGAGGGAAGGACACATAAGGGAGAGGAATTTAAGTAGGAAGAGGGGGAGAGAGAGGAAGAGAAGGATTTTAAGAGAGCCACAGGAGGGGCCCGAGGAAAGGAGGCAGGAACGGAGCTCACGACGAAGAAGGCGGGAGGGACGAAGGAAGTCGGCGGACGCAGAGGGGCAGGGGTGAGAAACGGGAGGGGAACGCGGTGAGGGCGAAGCGCCCGTGGGGCTCGCTATGGGCGCAGGGGTTCAGTGTCAGGTCTGGGGGCGGGAACGGACGGGGCTGGGGGGCGAATGTCCGAGGGGATGAGGAGGCAGGCGGAGGTCGTGCAGGAGAAGGGAAGGCGCGCGGGGACTTTTTTACGGGAGGAGTGAGGGACCCGGGTGCCCGGGCTGGGGTGGCGATGGGCAGGGCGAAGCGCAGCGGAGCACAGGCGGGGCGACAAGAGGGGGTAAGCACCTCGCAAGACCCGGCAGAGAGCCACCGGGGGAAAGAGCAAAGGCCAGAAGCGCAACTAGGGCAGGCAAAGAGGGCAGGCAGCGAGGCGCCCGATAGCCACAATGACCTGCGAGCAAACAGAGGAAGGACGAGGAACCCAGGGGCGAGGCGTACGAAGACGAGGACGGGCGCGCGAAGGCGGCCCAAGCCGGGCGGGGGAGAGGACGGGGAGGCAAACCACAAAGAGGCGGGGCCAGCCCGTCGTGGACGAGAGGGAAAAAGAGAATACCGGAACGGAGAAAGAATAAAAAGGCAGGCCAGGCAGGGGGCACCCAAGGGCAATAGCGGGGCGGCCGCTGGTGGGCCGAGCAGAGGGGACGACCCCAGGGAAGCCCGGCCCGGGGGCCGGGGGGGGCGAGGGGGAGGCGAACCCCCGACACGGGGCGGAAGCCACGGGCGCGAAGCCGGGCGACAGGCCCTCACCCCGGCGACACGGGAGCTGGGCCCGGTAGGACCGGGCAAAATAAGGAAACCGGCCCGCGCCGCAGCCAGGTGCGCGGGAAGAGAGGGAAAGCGCGGGGGGCGGCGCATGTATTTAAGAACAGGGTCGGGCTCGAGGCTGTGAAGGTGTGATGAGAAGAGAGGGAGGGAAGAAGACGGAACCGGGCAGGGGGAGGGAGCGGGATAAGAGGAAAAGGTCTATTAGAGTATGGTGGGAAGCGGGGGTAGCAGTGCGGGCGGCTAGCGAGTGAGGCCGCAGACCCCCCCTGACATGGAGCGGCACGTCTAGGAGGGGGGAACACCAAGTGGCGGGAGGAGGGTGGGGCCGCGACGCCTGAGGACACCTAGTAGACAACTTTTTTGTAGGAATCGTATATGTAAGGTCAGGAGAGAAAGAGGGGGAGGAGGGGATGGCCCGATGGCTGGGACGGTGTAAGGGACGTCCAAAGGCCCGGCCCGCCCGCTAGCGAGCTAAGATGGAAGGCAGAGCGCTGGGGGGGCTAGGGGGCAACATGTTGGGACCAAGGATAAATGAGAGGGCGCAGGCTCGTAGCGAAGGGTAGCAGGCGGGAGTGAATAACAAGGTGCAAGCCTGCGCTTGGCGTGGGAGGATGTCCGCAGCGGCAGTCAGCTACGGCTACGGGCCTATCGGGACATCCTGTGCGGAATGTTATGAAATCGTCGCGGCTCGCTTCGGACTCGGAGCGGGGTGCGCAGACTGGCGTGGCGTCCCTTTGCTAGTCCCCGTATGGGCTAGAGAACCTTCCCGCTCGTCGGGTCGCGGCGGGGCGACCGGAGGCTGTTGGGGTGAAGGCGGAAAGGAAGCACGCAGCGGGTGGGGCGGTAGAGGATATCGTGTGTGCAGCTAGGGGAGCGTCGCGCCACTGGGGCGACAGCGTGGACCGGAGCCACAGTAGAACGGGGACATCCGATGTAGGGTGCGGCTTCGGCCCTGGTCCGCCGACGAGGGAAGGCCGCGCAAGCGCGAACGCCCGCACCGGAGAGGATCGATACGGTGCGCACGACGGTCTGAATCCCAGCGCACGCGAGCGCGGGAAGGGTGCGAATTCAGCCTAACCGGGTGAACATACGACTAGCCCTCATGGGGGCGAAGAGTCCGACAGCGAGGCCAATCCGGCCCGGCGAGGGAACGCGGGGTGAAATCAGTCCTTGGTGAAGTCTCTGAGAGGAACGTGGATGCCGGTGAGCTCGCCGGCCATTCGCGGCTACCGTGTATTTGCGGAGCACGAAGGCCGACGGGCGGCCCGCCGACGGTGGGGCGGGCAGGTCAAGCGCCCGGAGGCCCGGGCACGCGAGGCCAAGCGCTGCTCTCGTATGTGATCCGGTGGCGCGCCGCCGGAACGGGTGGGGTGAGGTCCACGCTTTTTTCCCAGAGATAACGGGCGACCGGAGACTGGCTCCGGTGGCCGTGAGGGCTGACAACAAGGGGAGAAGTGCGTGCTCGGTCCATGAGGTGTGGAGCGCACGAGGGCGCGGGCCCTCCCCGCAAGTGTAGGCCGGCGGCGCCCTCCACGTAAGTCGGCGGCAGATTAAGCCCCAAAGCCAAGGCTCCTAGGGAACAGGAAGCTGGTCAGATGGGGCGGGCGGCCAGTCGGGCAGGCGAGGCCGAGCTGCACTAGAATTCAGGGGCGAGGGCACCGTAGCTTCTCGTCGCCGATGACAGGTCCCTATGATGTCGGTGATCGCTCGGGCGTGGCGGGGCGGGAACGGATCTCGACAAGGAAGGGCGTCCGTACGGATGGACCTGGTTTGTAGTAGTACGGTCCGCCGTGTGCATCGCGCGGTTTGGTGTCTTGGTGTCGCCGGCGCTCTCCTGGGCGCAGCAGGGCACCAACGGCCGGTGCCGGCTTGCCATCGGGCAGGCGGCTAGCCCCCCCAGAACATGGGCGGACGACGGGGCGTGGACCGGGGGGTGGGGGAAACAGCGCCCGGGCTCGGTTGGCACTGCGACTTCCCGGTGGAGGATCTGCACCCCGGCGCCCTGATAGGGACGGGGCTTTTTTTGAGGGGGCCGAGGGCCGGAGAGAGTAGGGGGTCGCGCGCCCCTGAGGGAGCTGCGACCACTCTCACCTGGGGCGGGGCGATGGGACAGTACCCGCGGGGGGTAAGGCGGCGAGGGTCCGTGGAGGAGGCTTTTTAGGAGGGGATCGGCAGCGCTTCGTAGTTCGCTCGGTTCTTTGGTGACGCGAAGGGTCGTCGAGGTCAGGGCCTTGCGACTCCCGGCGGACCCGGGAAAAAGTCAAGGGCACCGGGCTGGTCCGGAAACCTTTAGTAACTAGTCGTGTGCGGCGAATCTCGAGCCGTCCTGCTTTCGATGCCCGCGGAACCAATACAAGGGTAGAGTACAGAGAGGCATCCGGGGGTGCTCTATGCGACGACGCCCGGTGCGGTTCTCGGAGCGTGAGGCCTTCGGACGCACCCGTCCTGGGGACGAACGGCTGGTTATGGTAACCCGGAGTGGGTGCGGGGTGCATGTGGGAGCGCACTCAAGGGGCTGGTTGATCGCAATCCGGATCATGGCGCGCGGTCCGTCTGGCGCCACACCGTGCGTGCGCTTGGTTTGGCCCTGCGATAAGGCGGAACCGTCCTTCGACTCGAGGCAGGGTGGACGCCCACATGCGGCGGCAGATGCGCGGAGCCCTCGTTGTGGCAGCGGCTTCCGCTATAGATGTCGCGCGTTTAGCAGGGTAGCGAGGACGCACGCCGGGCAAGGGTTTTTTTTTTGGGGGCGGCGGTCGAGGCAAAACCGCCGGGCGGGCGCGTGCACCCTTCCGACCGCCGTGTGAGCACGGAGCGGGCAGGTGTAGTGCTGCTCGAGTCTGGGGGAGTCTCGGTGCGGGGGCCTGCGCGACGAGAAGCGGAGCCCCAGCGGCGCACGGGCCACCGGGGACCCTCGGGGGGCAGGGAGGAGTCAGAGGGGGCCGCGAGGGGGGATCCGCTGGCGCGCGGCCCCTCCGTATAACTATGGCGGGACCCCTGATTGAGAGGCCGGCAACGGCGCGCTTCGCAACGCAGGGCGGGGAGAACCAGCGACGCGGGGGGCGAGGGGCAGGGCACCCCGAACCATCAACGCAGCGCGGAGGACTGCAAACAGCAGGCGTGGCGGACGCCACGGAGGGGCACCCATATGTCTGGCAGTCCGTGGCAGGGAGAGAGCACCAGGTGCGGGGCCAGAAAGCAGTGACAAGCGCCCGAGGAAGACGCGCGGGCGCACGGCGACGGGGGAGGTCCTTCGTGAACCAAGCCACGGCCGAGGAGGCGCTCGGCGCTAGGCTGGCAAAGGTGACTGCGGCAGAGAGCACAGGCGCCGCCCACGCGGGAGCGCACGGTGGGCGGGGCGTAGGGCATCGCCCCTAGGGGGTTGTGCGGGGCACCGGGCCCGCACGGGACGACGGCCGCAGCTGGGCATCCCTAGGAGGAAGAGCCTGCAAGGGGCTTGCCGTGGCTGGAGTCACCGAGGCCTATTGTGTGCTCCTCTAGCGACGCGGAGGCAGAGCGAATGCTGAGGAGGTCGTGTGGCGACGGTCGTCGCGCCAGCGAGTGGTGGTCATGCCACGTCCAACCGGCAGGCGTCCGAGCAGTCAGTACCGCGGTTTGGGATGGCGCGCCATCAACCCCGGGCTACGGGTAGGCGTGCGCCCAGGGCTCGCCCGCGACGACGGAAGCGCGTTGGGCGGGGGGGCCGCGGGTCGACTAGAGTGGGGGCAGGCACCTAGGGTGGCGCGGCTCGGCCAGAGGAGTCAGCAGCAGGGCGAAAGGTGGACCGATTGTCGGGAAGCGCCGGTGCGAGGCGGTTAGGGGCACGCCCGAAGCAGGGCGGCTGCGGCTACCCCGGTCCGCGGCCGGGTTTATTTCATCTAATACTTTTTATTTTGAATTGTTATTTACTTTATTTTTGTTAATTCTGACTGTAGTTTTGTATTTTATTTCATCTTTTCTTTTGTTATTTCCCTCCTATGCTAATGTGGCCTATAGGTATCCACCGTAAGCCTTTCCTGTTTGACCTCTCCATTTCACTTTGTAAGGCTTAGCCATCCTAAGGTGCTGCTAAATGGAAGGATCTTATCAACGTCCATGAATGATAAATCATAGATCGAACTGCCGAATTGGAAAAATTGGGTGCTATCATAGTATCAGCTAAGTTCACGGGCTGGAGATAAGCGGACTCGAACCGCTGACATCCGCCACAGGGTAAACCACCGCCTCTCAGGCCTCTCCGGCTGATTCTACCATAGAGGCCAACGATAGACAATAACTCCCCCCCGAACACAGCTTACAACTTTCATCGTACTGTGCTCTCCAAGAGCAACTCTTTCGAAAGAGTTGCTCTTTGAGAGCACAGTACGATGAAAGTTGTAAGCTGTGTTCGGGGGGGAGTTATTGTCTATCGTTGGCCTCTATGGTAGAATCAGCCGGAGAGGCCTGAGAGGCGGTGGTTTACCCTGTGGCGGATGTCAGCGGTTCGAGTCCGCTTATCTCCAGCCCGTGAACTTAGCTGATACTATGATAGCACCCAATTTTTCCAATTCGGCAGTTCGATCTATTGAT